GAAGGCCCATAATGCATCATCAAGTTTCAAGCTCTATTCCTTTCGAGTTTTCTCAACAGTCTTCTCCAAAATCGGCTTCAGATCCCTATTAGTGTTCTCCACTTGGCCTTGAGTCTGGGGATGGTAAGCAACACCCTCTCTATGTTGAACTCCATATTTTTGCAATGTTTTGGACAAGGGATCATTTCTGAAGTGTATCCCTCTTGTTACAATTTTTGTACGGATTACAACGAACGGGGAAGATGAACGGCCTCGGAAAATAAAAAAAATAAAATTCTGAATTTATAACTTATTCAGAATATTACAAGATAAACATAATTGAAAATAAATTTATATATCTTCAAGCAGTCTTGTTGTATGAGGACATTAAGCACTGGACATCAAGGACATTATGCACTGGGCTGCGAGGACATTATGCACTAGGGCAGAATCCAGCGAGGTCTTTATGAACTAAACCTGCAGAACAAAACACCGTGAAGGACAGCGGAGTCGCCGGAGTTGTCCTTAAGGTAGTAGTGCCCGCCTACCGTACCGGAAAAACGTGGGCACTCTCCTCCCAGATAAAACCGCTATCGTGTGTGGAGATTGTACGGACCAACCACACACCAACGAACAAGAACAACGTAGGAACGTTGGCGACCAAAAAAAACTTTGAAAGGGATTGCCAGAAAAAATTGGCAAGAAAACCAAGAGCTCTCCTCAAAGTTAAACAAGGACAAAATTGTTAACTTTTTCCTTCTCCTCTTTTTTACTTCCCACGTATGGATGCTCTCCAAAAAATGAGAAGAGTCCCTCCATTTAAATAGGCATTTTCATGGCTCTTCATTTTGTAACTTATATGCCATGAAGGCACATTCAATAGCCATGACTCACCATCATTAGTAATATTTTTAATGGTGTGTTAATACCACCATTAACATGGGGGTTACATCCATAATGTTTAAAATTCTTCCTATTTAATTGGAGATTAATGGCCAGTTAACTCCGTAAAAGTGGAATAATTTTAAACATTACGTAACGGGTTAACTCTGAGAATCAATTTCTCATTTACCCTTCTACCATTTTTGGCGTATAATATATCAAAATATTTATCTCATTTAAGAGAACACACGTCCATTAATTAACGGTTAAAACCGTTAGTGGACCTATTGATAATTATACCCAAGTTGGTCCATTTAATGCCTATTAAAATACCAAAAATTCCAACACCTCTATCACTGATCAATACTCGAGGTATTCCGAACCTCGCAAACAACTTCTTCAAGAAACGCACCACCCTGTGCGCATCATCCTTCCGATAAGCTTGGGCTTCGGCCCACTTTGAGACATATTCAACCACCACCAAAATGTATTTATTTTCGTATGAACTAGAGAACGGTCCAACAAAATCAATACCCCAAACACCAAATACCTCACAAGGAAGTATATAATGTTGTGGCATTTCATCTCGACGGGTGATGTTACCCGTTCGTTGGCATTCCTCACATTTGGTCACAAATAATTGGGTGTCTCGAAAGATGGTGGGCCAAAAGAACCCACTGTCCATCACCTTCCATGCGGTTCTTGTTACAGAGAAATGGCCACCAACATGCCAGCGTGATAGTGTTTCAGTATCTCTTCTCCTTCTTCTTCACTCACGCACCTTCTCACCACCTGGTCTGCGCACATTCGGAACAGGTAGGGGTCCTCCCAGAAGTAGTGGTTCGCTTCCCGTTTGAGTTCTTGTTTGAGATGAGACAAGAGCATGGTAGGCTCGATATTGTAAGTTAGATAGTTAATTATTATATCAGTATACCATGGTATCTTCTCATTGATTGTTAGTATTTTCTCAAACGAGAATGTTTCATCCACTTTGCATTATTGATCAACCACCTCCGTGTCAAGACGAGAGAGGTGGTCGACAGCTTGATTCGCGGACCCTTTCCGTTCTTTTACCTCTATATTGAATTCCTGCAAGGTGACAAAGAGACTAAGGGAGTAAGTAGAAACTCATGGCATACTAAGGCATTGCGTGAGAAGTGATCTTTAGTAAAATCTCCTTGCTAGCTTTAGACAGTCACCAACTTTATACTGATTTGAGAACTCCTTACTTCAATACATTAATGCTATTCCTTAAGGATTTCCAAATGTGTTAATCCTCGATCTCTTGAACTCTGTCAAAGCACCAAACTAGTGTGGCAAATAACCCTTGCCTATAGGATCCCACCTAAGATTTTACAACAACTATCTTGACTGTTTACAATGATAATTTCGTGGTTATCTTCAAACATTTACACAAGGACTTACATGTTATCCTTGAACCTTTATAGGCTTTCTCAGCTATTCTCAACAGTATAACTTTAGAATTTGACAACAAATCTTGTGCGTAAGAATGTTTATATAAGGAAGATCCACGCAGGAATTCTACACTTTGGCTTTATCACAAACCGATTATAATCAATACTTGGGCGATGTAAATGAAGTTATACATTCAAAAAATTACAAGCTCAACTTATTAAATATGAGTGTGTATCTAAACCACATGCTTAATTTTTGTGTATATGAAAATATAAAAGACGGGCTTTTGAAATAGCCAAAAACTAAAAGATAAATCTCAACACACTTGAAATATGATATATAAAATTCTGGAGTTTAAATTCTTTTGTGAAATGTCAACACAAATTATGATAGGGAGTATTTCATGGTGTCAAGTACTCTCAACCCTTTAATTTATGGGATAACATTAAACATACATCATTCGCCCAAAAAAATCTTTTTACTTACCGAGAGTAGTTTTTTTACAAAATTTAAGAAATAACAAAATTGTTTGGTTGAAATTTATGTAGAAGAAAAAGAATTAAGGTGAACCACCCATTTCATTATTTTAAGGAATAAGAAACTTTTTTGGGATAAGCAAAAAAAGTTGGAAGATTTTTTTGAGACGAATGAAATATGAGATTTATTTTGTTATAAATTTCATGTTTTAGTTATATTTATGCAGATTTCTTTAAATTATATGGTTAAAAATTGATCATCGTCCATCATTCAAATTATGATCAATACGAAGTGAATATTTGTTTAAAATTTATTAACAATTTAAATAACTAACCAAATACAAATCACATTTATAACTATTTTGGTATTCAAATTCATATTTAAAAAAATTAGACAATTACAAATTCAAATATTTGGTATTCTGATCCATTGACAATCCTACTTGCATCTAACATGATAAGAATATGCTCACATTAACATTATTACTCCCTTAGTTTCAAAACTATCGTGATAGTTTGATTTTTGTAGTTTCTTTGACTATAAATTATATATAATTAAATAAATGTTATAAAAATTTATATAAGAAAATTATATCTTAAAATAAACCTTATTATATTTATTTACATTATAACTATATATGCACATTTTTTATAATTTATGACCAAAGTAATCATAAAAGTCAAACTAAAATGATAACTTTGAGATGAAAGAATTATACTCCGGGTAACTTTCTCTTTGCTTTTTTGTGCACGCAAAAAGAGAAGGCTCGTGATGTTATAGTCTTAAGGTCTACGTACATGTCAAATGTAGAGATTCTCACATATCTTACATGTGTTCTTAGTTAAATCAAATAGATCAGATCGGATCCAATCAAATATATCAGATCAGATCCAATCAGATCAAATCAGGTTAAACAATATTACTACTACTACTATTAGGTAGTAGTACTATTCTACTTCAGAATGAGTACTATCCGGTTGTACCTATCTCTAGGTACAGGCAGCTGTATGTATACATCAGAAACACGGGAAGAATGTTCCATACCTATGAAGGCATGCTATCAAAAACGGGGTCAAGCGTAGCTAAGCATGACTCATGTTTCAAGGTTGGGCCTTTAAGTAGAAGAGGTGAGAGAGTCAAAGTCAAATACGTTAACACCCAGACCAACCCTACACAAAGAAGAAGGTTCTCCTAACGAGTACTCCTACAGAAAAACGATTTGGACCATGCTACATTTACACCAAAAATTGTACCCCATTTGTACACCGCAGTTATACATAAACATTTTGATGGTTTACACCGACACAAATGTTGGTGTGTTAACAAAAATTTACACGGACACAAAGTGTTGGTGCGTTAACAAAAATTAGTTTTACACCAATACAAAATGTTGGTGCAAAACTGCGACAAAATGGGGTACAAAAGGTTGGGGGTACAAGTAGCTTTATCCAAACTATTTAACTGGAAAACTTGTTCTGTGAGGTGGGTTACCCATAGGGGTGAGCATGGTACGGTATGGTACGGTATTTAGCTCGTACCGATACCGTACCAAATATTTCGGTTCGGTATGGGATTTTACTCCGTACCGATCCCGATCCCGAAATATCGATTCGGTATGGTTCGGTATCGGTTTCGGTACAAATCGGGATGAATATACATACCTACTTTACACCTTAAAACTTAACAATGCCCCTTTATTTTTGAAAATTAAAAGTGAATTTAAATAAAAAAACATGAAAAATTAAAAAAAATGAATATTTAAATGCAAGAGATGTGTATCAAAACTTAGTTTATATTTCACAAACTAAAAAAATGAACGACAACAAAGGAGTATATTGAATCTTTGTGAATACTTATATGTTCATACACAAAAACTAAAACTCAAATAAAAGTATAATTTACACATAATAGAACTTGAACCAATTTTTTTTAAAAAATTATTATTTAATGAAGGAATATAAAAATATTACTCCGGGATATTATTTTTTATAATATTTTAGTATATATATGTTCGGTTCGGGATTTTCGGTATGGGAAGTCACCTCGTACCGTTCCCAAATACCGTACCGACCATTCGGTTCGGTATTTTTCGGTTCGGTATTCTCGGTTTTTTCGGGAAACTTCGGTATTGGTTCGGTACTTGCTCACCCCTAGTTACCCACACATTATTCTTGTTTGAAATTTGAATTGTTCTCCTATTAATTTCTGGAAAAGTATACTCCTCACTCCCTATATATCCGCATATAAATTATAACCTTGATTTCTTCTGATACTATATAAATCCAAGAAACACATTTCTGAATTTTGGTTTTTTTCCCCCCAATTTTTCTTATTTCGTGTTTTCAAAGATCTTTCTGCATTTGAAACGAGTAAAAAATTCAATCTTTTTAGCGATTCAATCTTAGCCAACAAGAAGAATCATGTTCTTGGTGGCAGCCATCTGTCTCTTCTCAGTGGTGGCCTGTATATTCTTGCTCCACCTTTACACCGCCGAAGGGTTCCGCCTCCGCCGCCGCCCAGACATCCTCAGCGCCGCCGATCAAGAAGTGGGCATAAGGGGTCTGGACCCATCAGTACTAAAAACCATACCAGAAGTTGACTTCAGCTCCAAAGATTTCAAAGAAGAGGGCTTGGAATGTGCAGTGTGTCTGTGTGAGGTGTGTGAGGGTGAAAAGGCAAGATTTTTGCCCAAATGTGACCATGGGTATCATGTGGGCTGTATTGACCAATGGTTTCAATCACATTCCACTTGCCCTCTCTGCAGAAACCCGATCCCAAACCCGAATCCACCTTCGGGTCCCGTACCCGGAGCAGAAGTAGGAGGATCTCCAAACTTTCCCACCAATGTGTTGTTTTGGGGAGATGAGACTCAAGTCAGCACCTTTTCATGTCCCACATTGGAAGAACGTGTTCCTTCTCCGGTTCCGTGTTCATCCTCGGCTGCAATTGATATTCCTAGGCAGAGCCTTGAGGAGTTCGGGCAAAAACCGACCGTGATCACGGAGATTGAGATCACTCAAGAGGCTATTGATGATGAAGAGAAGGGAAATGGGGCTCATAGTAGATGTAGAACAAGGTGGCCTAAGCCAATGAGTGTAATTTTTTGGGACATTTTAGTCTTAGCCTGTGATGTTTTCATTGATTCTTGAGTATTCTGGTCATAAACAAGATAAATTTTGTACAACTCTGTACACAAAATAGATGTTTTCTTCAATTCCATGTGAAGGGTGCACACAAATAGATGATGAAGATAAAAACCTCAAAAAATATATATTAAAAGAAGGATAAATATTTTGTTCTTGCGAAGTAAGAGAATCACATTTTGAGCTGTTTTCCTAAGTAACTAAGTAAACAGGTCCATAGGACTGAACAACCTTGGGAGTGTTCATCTTTCCAAGGCATATATATGGGACAATCTCCTTCGCGTCTTTGTCCTCGCCGGAGAAAAGATTTGTGATGGGTCCCGACACAGTCTTCCGAAGCCTCGCTGCAGTTGCCATTTCACTCCCATGAAAATTCACCGGTCCAGAAACACATTCGTTCCTTTGCATGGAGAATTTCATTCCTTTTTTGCCATTCTTGGTCTTCTTTTCTCTCTTTAGCCATGAAAAAAGTGATCTTTTCCATGATGGTTTTTTTCCCATTTTTTTCTTCTCACATGACTCTTGAAGATGTGAAGTGACACCCAATGTCACCCTCCTTGCATGATTTCTTCCTTCTGCCAAGAACTGAACAAGGGATACCCTCACATCATCATCAAACTTAATCCAAAATATATTGAATATAAATTAACACCAAACCCTTATATAATCCATAACACAATTCGGGTCCCTTGTAAAAAATAAAGAGGTTATTTTCGTCATAGTACGATTGATGCATTTACTTACCAAAACTTTGCAGAAAAAACGGAGTAACAACCAACAAGAAAGAGAACTTTAATGGGTCATTTTAGTTTAATCCATCACTTATGCAAAACTAGAACGTCGAAAAAAATGACTTTTTAGCTCCATTGAAACGGGACCATCCAATAATATAATGAATTAAACCATATTAAGGCTTGGATTGCCAAGGACAAAGGACAAATCTCAGCTCTTATTTGTGATACTGATTATAGTTCAATTGACCTTCTACAACGTAACTGTTTGGCCGGTTCGAGATTTATTAGACATTATATGATGTTTTAGAGGTAAAAAGGAGTATCAATGACAAACCTGTTCAAAATCTGAGTGAGGATCAAACTCATAGTGTTGATGATGTTGTTCAAGTTTAGAGTTTATAGGAGAATTTTTCATAATCCTTCATAGATTTCACAGCAAATTGAGGAAGACTTTCTGCACAAAGAAGCAAAGAGAAAAGAACAGTGCAATCAACCTCAAAAGCAACACCAGAGAGGTGGGAGCAAAGCAAGAAAAGAAGTTTTTATTTTTGAGTGAAAAATTAATAATTTGCATTCATTTTTTTACCTTTTTTGTGGTGCAAAGTGGGGTAAGGTTTAGCTGTTATGGTTTCTTCCCCTTGATATATGGTTTGTACACAGTATATATGAAAAGGGACCTTATAGAACGTCACACAATCTGGTTGATAAAAGGTGATTTCCTGTTTCTTTTTTTGTTTTTTTGAGTGCTATTGACCCTATTAAGAAATAGTATGTGTTCATACTTATTCTCTCAATCTAAGAACGCACAAAGAACCTCCAACTCTGCTTTTGCTAGGATTCGAACATGGTTGAATTTTTCCAAGAATCCTAGGAAGTGGGTTTCTTACCAAAAGTTCCTTTTTTAATTGATCATTATGACTCTTTTATGCATTGAAAAAATGATTGAATGTAGACATAAAGGCAAGTTTATATTCATTTTGTTTTCAATGTATAAAAAAGGGTGGGGTCCCGTTGACACCTATTATGGTTTAGGGGGGTTATAGTATCAACGGATGACACTCATCCATTTTGAGGCACTTCCGGTACTTCATTTTCAAAATTGATGGTTCCTACCCCCAACAACCCCCCCCTAAACTCCCTACCCCGGTCTTGCCCCTGCCCCCCTTAGACCCTCGAAATGTGTGGCTAAAAACATTGACAAAGATTGCAAAAAAAGTGGTAAGGGCATCTCAACAACAACTAAGGTTTGAGGGGACTACGAGAGTGAGGACATACTTTCTGAAAGAATCCAGTAGTTAGGGGTACCCTAGAGTACTGCATAGGGATCTCGCGATAGAAGAGTGTGATCTCACTTTTACTTTATAAATCTGTGATATTTTTATTTAGTAACTCATACTTAAACTACATTTTAATGTGACATACTTAGGCTACATTTTAATGTGACATAATATATAGTAAATAATACACATAAATAATACTCTAGTTAACAAATATTAGTTCTTGTACAAAGTTATTGAGTTTTTTTAGCATAATTATAAATCTCAACTATCAAATGAAACACTTTAAAGCGTAAATACATTATTTATTTCTCTAATATCATTAAGGATATTAAAATCATTATTTCTTTATATTGGATCGGATCAGGAATAGGGTGACCCAAATTCATAGGTTTAAAAAAATAAACAAGTCTGAATGGGCATTTCGATTTGTTTGTTTATTCAAGATGAGCATGTTTGGGAATATCGTTAAAGACTAGGTAGCGTTTTGAAAAGATTATCTATGACCAGTGTTTAGCGTTAGCGTTTTCAAAGTAATATGCACCATTAAAATTTTATCCAAAACACTAATACTAATCTTTAACGATATTCCCAAACAAGCCCAATATATAAATATCCAAGGATAAAATGGTAAAAATACTATTTTGGTTCAACAATCAAATCGAATCTCACTCTTCCTGGTTTTTCGGATTTCTACAACTAACTCATCCATTTCTCAAACACTCTATTTGGTTGTTTGATTGGTCAAACAAATAAAAAGTCATCTCAAACATTATTCACTGCAATAGTTATACCTTTATTTTTTCATATTTACCTATTTTTATTTAAATTAAATTATATATTTTATAAAATAATAAAACATTGGTTTATTATGTTTTTGGGTTTTCTCTTTCGAGTTCATTCTATTGTTTGTTTGGGAATATTATTATTTTTTATCTATATCAAATCACACTAAATTATATCTTTTAAATTAATAAGTATTAAAGATTATTCTTTTTACCGTTTTCTATTTCAAATTTGTTTTCGATATATTATTTTACATTTTTTTAATATTTCCATATTTTAAATGCACATAATTTAAAAGGAAAAAAATATGATGACATAATTTGATATTAAGATTCGTTTCATTCCAAAAATATAATACTCCGTAATAAATATGAGTAATTTGGAAGTACTTGGATGAAACATATAAGCGAGATATAATGTCAAAATTATATATAAAATATTAGTGTCATGAGATAAATTTTTTGAAAATATTTACAATGACATATTATTTGTCAAGTAATGACTTACATACATAACAATATGAGTAAATTTGAAAATTCAGTATAAGAATTAAATAAAATGAAAAAGAAAAGTTTAAAAAAATAAAAACAGAAAAACATTCATAAAATAATAAATTAAAATATGTGTACATAAAATGACATAGTTTATGAGATTCAATCTAAAAGCTTAGATCCAATTTTCCAGTAAAAACCAAAACCAAACAATAGCTGTTCAATTTGGTTTCAACTTTTCTTTCACTACAGTTTGTGATCTTTGATTTTGCAAACCCAGCTCTAGGAAAACATTTCAAACTCCAAACATGAAGAGTAGAGAGGACTACAGCAATGGCAAGAAATGGATGGTGTATCCCTTTTGAGTTTGAAAAATTGGTATCAATATCTATTCTATTTTCAAAACTTATTTGTAAAATTCTCGTGGTTTCAAAACGTTGCACTTACACCCTTGCGATCACTTTTTGGTCATTTACCGGCAAAGAGAGGACATTGGTACGTATTTTCCAAACCATAGGGGCACTCGTGCTCATTTCTTATTTTCGTTTATTATTTGGTGTTATTCCTTTTTTTTCTTTGTTTCCTTTTCCTAAAAATTTTTTTAAAATCTCTTTTCAACTATAATATTTTAAAAGATTCAAAATTCTATGTTTGAAATAAAAACAAAAATAAAAAAATTAAAATATACTCAATCTCTCTCAAATTTTTATTTTTCACTTTTTGTTTTCTAGAATAATTTTTTGATAAGTTCAAAAAGGAAATTCAGAATAAAATATGGAAAAACAAAATAATAAATTGAAACATGCAAAAAAAGTCTTATAGAAGAGAAATTTTTAGAACGCCTAAAAACTCTGTAGAATTAGGATGCCCAAAGAGAATATTTATTTTTACTTTATTTCTTATTTTATTCTTCATTTTTTGAAGTTGTCAAAATAAGTTTAGCTTTTTTATTTCACAAAACAAAAAATAAAAATTGAGAAATTGAGACTTAAAGGTGCAGCTAGTATATGTTAATTATTTCTTTTTTCAAAAATAAATAATTTTAAATTTTATGAACACTATAAAACAATATTAAAATAAAAAATCTTGATTAATAAAAGAAACGAATAAAAAAAGGAAAAACAAAAAATAAGAATGAGCACTGGCGCTCTTATGGTTTGGAAAATAGACACCAATAGCTCTTTATTCACCGAAAGAATGGCTAGAAATGATCTGAGAGAGTGTAGGTGCAAAATTTCGAAACCACAAGAGTTTTAAAAATAAATTTTGAAAACATGAGGGTATTGAGGATATTAGTGTCTATTTTCCAAACAAGGATATTGGTGCTATTTGGCCACCAAACAAAATACCACAAGTGGGACCCAAAATGCTACCAAAGCATCCAAACAACTAAGTGGCTGTTTGGCAACAACTTCACCATTTTACTTCAGTGTTTTGAAAATTTTCTTTAATAGTAGCATTTTCAAAATTAATCTACACAATGAAAAAATAATTTAAAAGGATAACGATATTTGAAAACATTGTTCCAAAACGAAACCTAAACTCTCATCTTACAAAATCCCAAGGCACAACAAAAAAGTGAAACAAGACAAATACCATTGCTTGATCAACTAGAAAGCTTCCTCTTCTTTGATTTCTTTGGCTTGAACTTACCTTTCTTCTTATTAGTTGATTTCTCCTTTGGGCTCTCGTCTTCTGTAGGGGGATCACTTTCTTCATCAGAACTAAGCACCAAATCCTCCACAATGTCTTCATCCGAAGCAGCAGCGGCAGCAGCAGCAGCATCCTTCTTTTGTGACCCCTTTCTCTTCTTAGACTTCTTCTCTTCTTTCTCGAGATTTATACTGTATAGGAATCACCATCAGGTTAATATCATATAAGGTTCCATCATGAACACAAGGTCACTGAGGACAGAAATCAACCTGGCCTGTTATTAGATTTTTCTGTTTTGCTTTATGAGACAAATTTTCTACAACTAACTTCATTTGAATCTGCTTGAATCATTGGTCCATAATGGGGGGAAAATAGTGCAAAGTTTACTATTTTGGCTAAAAAGAAAGTAAATGTTACTTTAAACTAAAGCTAAGATATTATTTCACTAGATTTATTTCATTTAAAAAACTTTTTGAATATATGTTTCTAGATACTTTGGTCCATCCAGCAAATTATGCCATGTCCACCCACAGATTCCAAAAAATCAGCTGTTTATCAGATAGGGCTAAAAAACAAAATGAAGAGAAGATTTGATTTAGAGGGGAGAGCAAATATACTTAGGAGTGCCTCCGGGTAACCATGAAGAGTTGAAGATAGCATCTCCCGTCTCCTCCTTATCATCTTCATGGTCGACATCTTCCACCTTTTTTCCGAAAACCGACGTACGCTCACCAACAAGTACACTGAAAGCATAGATTTTCTTCATCAGTTCCTCATGTAAAAGAATATCTAACAAAATCGAAAAAAGATGAGCATACTGAACCTTGATTCAACTAAAGAGTCATTTCTTTGTGCTGCCCTCTCACGAAGAGTGACAACATATTTAGACAACGGGCTAGCACCTGCCTTTTTTTCAGCCTACAGTTGAAGAGATGGAAAATGAGTTGATTGACATCAGTTTTAGGAGAATTTGTTTTTACCAAGCAGACGGAAGCTTAGAAAATAGATTCTTTAGCTTCTCCCAACAGTGTAGAGATCTCATATCCAGTAGGATTGTGATATCTATTCTCAGCAAAGAAATAACCAATTTCTTTTATGTGATTATTAATGGTAATGTCTACAAGATTCAAGTAATTCAACACATAAATTTTAGGTTGGAAGAGCATTCATTGACCAGAAAGGAAGGTAAGAGAATGAAGTGTGGAACCTCAAGAAAAGATGCTGCATCCGAAACATTGGGTAGAAATGTAACAGTCATACGCTTTTTATTTGTAAACTCAGAATTCGCCTCAATCTGTGACATTTGAAAAGAAAACATACGATATAACTTAAAGCATGAGAAGCAACTGTAATGAAATTATATAACCACATACGAACCTAAATAAGGAATGTTGTAGGCGTGTTTGCCTATAAGATTGATTTAGAGACAACTCTGGCTTGAGGAATATACTCCAAGCATAATATAAAAAAGAAAAGGCATACCTGGCGAATGAATTTCCTAATTTCTCGAAGAAATCTATCAACCTTAGTGGACTTATTGAACTTGCGTAGCCGAACAGCAGGTACAAATGAAAGCTCAGGGAAAGCAATAGAATAACTCCACATAGCAAGATGCTCAGCAAGTTCTTCAACCACAGAATAAACACATGCCTCTTGAAATGTTCGTGTTTTTACGGTGGGTTTTGTTACCTACCATATTAAAATGAAAGTTCAAATAGTTATATGAGTAGTATCTCTCCCTATCTACCTCGCACACACGCAAATACCAATGCAATGATAGTGAAAATACCTTAAGTACACAACGCAGATCTACAGCTTTCCCAACACCTCCAGTTACAGGCTTATGCAATTCCTTCATTTCTAGCATGTCCAAAAGGATCAGAGAAACCGGAATAAAAGAATCAGTAGATGCAGCAATGCGATTGAGCATCTTGACACATCTCAATCGGACGGGAAAATACCGAGCAGATGGAAGCAAACGAGCAGCTCCAGATATAATTTGTGCCAATGGATACGCAAGGGGTCTGAAATCTGATTCAGAACAATATGTACATATAGCTCCGGTCCAAAGCTCAAGGCAGTTTATGTACTTCCATTCATAAACCTTCCTGAAAGATTCCTGAAGTAGAGTTGAGCATTGTATAAGAAAGCATATTTCAGAGTTATTTGAAATTGAACATTCGAGACCTACAACAGTTAAACAGAAATACAATTTACAGAAGTGAAATCAAAGAATACAAGCACTGTCACTCTCTATAGTTTATACAAACATTGTCAACCCATATCTTAATATATTAAAAGGGAATAATGGATATAACATTTGACTATGCAACAAGTGATTGGGTATAGAATCAGAGAATAAGATACAGGGCCCATTTCGGAAATGCATTTTTTATTAGATTGCACCATGTAAATATATAAGTATATACCATTAAAACAAAGCACCACATCTGAAATAATACCTTGGTTTTTGAGTCAAGAGCCTTGCGCAAGATCATTGCTAACTGTCGGATGAAAAGAAAGGCATGCTGGTATGCAGTGGAAAGGTCTACCCTTAAAAGTTCAATGAAACAATTGCCAAGAAACTGAATGTGGTGCAACTTTGATGCATTAACAAATGTACTGTTCAACACATATGTCTTGTACATTCCCTTGATGCAATCGTCAATGATATCAGAGTGGAGATGGATACACAATTCCCTCAAAAATAGAAAAGAGAACACAGGCAAAGCACCTCCTCCAGTACCCCAAAAATGAAGAAGAGCCTGAAAAGCCATATAAGCCCTCAACAGTAATACTTGACAACGTCACAACTTATGCAACTAGTTAAAAAATTTTGAATTAATCTAATGAGGAAAAGAGAGGGAAATGGACCATTTCTCAATTTGATCCAAGCTCATTACCACAACATCCAAGAAACAAGTGGTACCTTAATGTACTTCCTTAAAAGAACTGGAAACGCAGCCAAAAGGATTGCTGAATATCTCAACCTCCTCAAGGTGAATGAAATCATTTCAGTGTCTGTCATCTGGTTGAGAACATGTAGAGCATTTCCCAGGTATGACTTCGCCAAATTTTGGAAGCTTTTCCACTTCCTAGTGGTCATCGCATCTGTCAACATCTGTTTTGTAACCCCAGTAGCCGGAAAATTCAGCAAACCACGGAGAATTCCATCCATTTCATTCAAAACAAATAGCATGATTTTATTGAAAACACCACTTGACATAGTACTCCACTTTGATGTAGGGTTAGAAGCACTTTCATCGCCATAGTGGCAAGCAGAACGAAATGCTCTCACCATAGAGCGAATTGCTCCTATGTTTCTTTTTTCTCGAATTGAGTTACACCAAGAATCTACCATTTCACTAGTTATTGCACCTTCCAATGACCTCCCCCCCTGTTCATCAATACTAGCATCATCGTCATCTTCGTCGTTGTCATCATCCATTGCCTCTCCATCAGCTTCCATCTCCTCACCCTTTACATAGAATATATGCAGTTTATTAATTTTTAAGCATCACAAGAAAAAAAAATGCACAATTTGAAATACAATAGACAATTGACAAGTAGACTTACATCAGTTTGCTCATCATCAAACTCAAGAAGCTCCTTGTCATGCTCTTTCAAGAATTCATAGAACTCTGGATCCTGTAGAAGAAATTTGCTCCCCATGTAAGAGAACATTGTAATCATTAATGCTGTAAATTCCTACCAATCAGCTTGATGGAGTAATATATCACTAATATCCATTGGCTGGAAACAGCATTCTAAATAACCTTCTCTTGGAGTTTATGTAAGGGTAAGCTATCATTTCTAGCTGTTTGCTTCTCTGTTGACTTTGGCATGGCGTCCAATTGGTTGTCTTCCTTTACGGGATTGCTTTTACTCGACTATTTAACTGCAGACAGAAAAACAAAATATTTAACAGCTTTCACTAAAAATGTGCAAAGTAATGCAGCATTTTGGTCCACACTTCTCAACAAATCCAATTTCTATAGTACCATCATTTATGATTGTGAAACATTTAGTAATAGAGGACCATGCAAACAAGAATCTATCCATAACTTTCATAAGTTACCATTCTCTTCAGTAACATCACTACTGATTGTGGAGCAATTTTTGGAAATCTATTCATAACTTTCAAAACATATCAATTTGCTATGTTAACTGAGAGCAATATATGAAGCATGTAACTGATCAATCTGATAAATCCTCATCAATAAATGCTTTTCAACATACATGTAAAATCTAAAAGAAATTATTATTAGATTTTTTTAAAACATGATATCCCCGCATCCTTTCTTACATAAAGATTTATTTTT